GCCCGGGGGGGGGGGGGACGGGGCCGGGGGGGGGGGGCCGTGGGAGGGGTGGCACTGTCCCATGGTGTCCCGTGCCGGTGGCAGGAGGCCACGGCCGTGATCAGCGCCCGCCGCGCCGAGGAGGGGACGCTGGAGGGGCTGCGCCGGGTGCTGGCCCAGCTGCAGCCCCCCGCCCCCCGGCCCCCCAGGAGGACCCCCCAGGACACCCCCGAGCTGGTGGTGAGTGGGGGGCGATGCCCTGCGGGAGCGGGGAGGGCACCTGGGGGGCGGTGGGTGCTTGTTCGCCCTTCCCGGGGCTCTCTGGGCAGGGGGCGTTGGGGGGTCCTGGGGGTCCCACCCTGACCCCCCTGCGCTCCCCAGGGAACCAACTACCGCAAAACCAACCCGGCGCTGGAGCTGCAGCGCACCCAGCGCGATTCCTTCTGGGAGCAGGCTGAGGTGAGGGGCCGGGGGGCCGGGGAAGGGCTGGGGGGTTCCCCGGTGTCCCGGGGATGGGGTCACGGCTGCTGCCTCGGGGCAGAGCCCGGGGGTCGCAGTGCGGAGCTTGGTGGGGGTCCCGGTCCCGGTGTGGGGTGCAGGGGGGTCCTGGTCCCAGCGGTCTGTGGGGGTCCCGCTGCTGACCCTGCACCGGGGGAGGGTCTCAGTCCCAGTGCCGAGCCCCGGGGGTTGGTGCTGCTGTCGGTGGGGTCCCGGTGCCGGTCCCGGTGCCGGTGCCAAGGCTGGGACAGCCCCAGTATGGAATGGACAGCAGTGAAGTCCCAGTCCCAGTCCCGGTCCCGGTCCCGGTCCCGGTCCCGGTGCCGGTGCCAAAGGCAGCGGGATCCTCGCGCCGCTCCTGCTGCGGGGGCGGGTGAGTTCTCGGTGCAGCGGCCGGTGCCGGTTCCCGGTGTCGATCCCGGCGCTGATCCCGGTGCGTGCGCAGCGCGAGGAGCAGCAGCGGAAGGAGCAGGAGCGGCAGCGGGAGCGGGAGCAGCGGCGGCGCTGGGAGCGGGAGCGCATGGAGGAGGAGCGGCTGCAGGCGGCGGAGCGGGAGCGGCGGCTGCAGGAGCGGGAGCGGCTCATCGAGGAGCGGCGGTGAGGGGCAAGGCTGGTCCCCATCCCTCTCCCAGCCCCGGGCGGCGCTGGGAGCGGGAGCGCATGGAGGAGGAGCGGCTGCAGGCGGCGGAGCGGGAGCGGCGGCTGCAGGAGCGGGAGCGGCTCATCGAGGAGCGGCGGTGAGGGGCAAGGCTGGTCCCTGTCCCTGTCCCGGCCCCGTGTCCCCATCCCTGTCCCAGCCCCGTGTCCCCATCCCCATCCCTGTCCCGGCCCCGTGTCCCCATCCCTGTCCCAGCCTCGTGTCCCTGTCCCTGTCTGAGCCCCGTGTCCCAGTCCTCATACCCCGCTGGTGTTTCCCATCCTGTCCCATGTCCCATCCCCGTGTCCCCGTCCCCATATCCCGCTGGTGCTCTCCATCTGTGTCCCTTCCTGTCCCATGTCCCATTCCCACATTCCACTGGTGTTTCCCGTCTGTGTCCCATCCTGTCCCATGTCCCATGCCCGTGTTCCAGTCCCCATATCCCGCTGGTGCTTCCCATCCTGTCGCATGTCCCACCCCCGTGTCCCCATCCCCATATCCCGCTGGTACTCCCCATCTGTGTCCCATCCTGTCCCATGTCCCATTCCCGTGTTCCAGTCCCCATATCCCGCTGGTGTTTCCCATCTGTGTCCCACCCTGTCCCATATCCCACTGGTGTTTCCCATCCTGTCCCGTGTCCCACCACCATGTCCCACCCCCATGATCCCATCCCTGTCCCAGCCCCATGTCTCCATCCCTGTTCCACCCCCGTGTCTGCATTCCCATATCCCGCTGGTGTTTCCCATCTGTGTCCCGTCCTGTCCCATTCCCATATCCCGCTGGTGTTTCCCATCCTGTCCCATGTCCCAAGCCCGTGTCCCCAGCCCCATGTCCCTGTCCCTGTCACAGCCTCGTGTCCCTGCCCCTGTCTGAGCCCCGTGTCCCTGTCCCTGTCCCATCCCCATGTCCCCATCCATGTCCCAGCCCCGTGTCCCGGGCCCTGTATCCCGCTGGTGTTTCCCATCTGTGTCCCATGTCCCAGCCCCGTGTCCCCTCCCAGCCCCGTGTCTCCATCCCTGTCCCAGCCTTGTGTCCCTGCCCCTGTCTGAGCCCCGTGTCCCCGTCCCCATATCCCGCTGGTGTTTTCCATCTGTGTCCCTTCCTGTCCCATTCCCATATCCCACTGGTATTTCCCACCCCCGTGTCCCCATCCCCATATCCCGCTGGTACTCCCCATCTGTGTCCCATCCTGTCCCATGTCCCACCCCCGTGTCCCCATCCCTGTTCCATCCCTGTGTCCCCATCCCCCTGTCCCCATTCCCATATTCCGCTGGTGTTTCCCATCCCGTCCCATGTCCCACCCCCGTGTCCCCATCCATGTCCCATCCCCACGTCCCCATCCCTGTTCCACCGCCGTGTCCCCATTCCCATATCCCGCTGGTGTGTCCCATCCTGTCCCGTGTCCCCTCCCTGACGCCCCCCTGCCGCCCCCAGGCAGGAGCAGGCGCGGCTGGACGCGGAGGAGCGCAGGAAGGAGCAGGAGCGATGGGTGAGCGGGAAGGGGGCTGGAATTGGGGGTCCCAGGGGGATGGGGGGGTCTGTCCTGGGAAACACGGGGGCTCCGTCCCAGCGGGATCCAGGGCGCTCATCCCGGGCGGTCTGGGGCTCATCCCAGGGGGTTTCAGGGGGTCCATCCCGGGGTCAGTCCCAGGGGGTTCAGGGAGTTCGGGGTGTCCATCCCAGGGGATTCGGGGTGTCTGTCTGGGGAATCTCAAGGGGCTCATTCCGGGGGATCCTTCCTGGCGGATTTGAAGGGGTCCATCCCCGGGGATCCAGGGGTCCATCCTGCCGGATCGAGCGGGATCCCATCACAAGGCACACAGGAGATCTGTGGCGGGGGCATGCGGGGTGGGGTCTGACCCGGGGAGGTGTGAGGGCTCCATCCCGAGGGATCCGGGCTCCATCCCGGGGCACCCGGGCTCCATCCCGAGGGATCCGGGCTCCATCCCGGGGCACCCGGGCTCCATCCCGAGGGATCCGGGCTCCATCCCGGGGCACCCAGGGCTCCATCCCGAGGGGTCCAGGCTCCATCCCGGGGCACCCGGGCTCCATCCCGAGGGATCCGTTTCCCACGGCCGCCGTGTCCCGCAGGAGCAGCAGCAGCGGGAGCAGGAGGCGGCCGAGCGGGAGCGCGGGGCTCGCACCGGGCTCAGCGGGACGGCGGCCGTAAGTGCCAGGACCGTGTCCCTCCGCGTCCCCGCGGGTCACAGGGGCACTGGCCCTGCCGTGGTGCCCCACGGTGCCCCGTGCCACCCCCCTGACCCCCGGTCCCGCAGGAAGCCGCCATCCTGGTCTCCCAGCGCGCCCAGAACCCCCGGGAATTCTTCCGGCAGCGGGAGCGCTCGGGCTCCACGTCCGCGTCCCCCGTGCCCGGCAGCGCCCCCGGTAAGTGCCCGGGCAGCCTTGGGGGGCACTCCGGGGGGCTCTGGGGGTCCCCGCTGACCGCTCGCCCCCGCCAGGTGCCCGCCGGCCCTTCCTGCGGTACCAGCGCAGCCTGACGGAGTCCGCCTTCATCTTCCGCCGGCCGGAGCCGCTCCAGAGCCCCCCGCCCGGCGCCCCCAGGGGGGCACCGCCCCCCAGCCCCCGCCGGCCGCCGCCGCCGCTGCCCCCCGGCCCCGCGGGGACAGGGACCCCCCGGAGTGCCACCAGCGGGACCCCCGCCAGCCCCACGGGGAGGGACACCCCTCCCTCTGCCTCGCTGGGGACGCCCCCCAGCCCAGCCCGAGCGGGGTCCCCCCATGCCACCAGCCCTGCGGGGACAGGGACCCCAGAATGTGGCACCCTGGGGACCCCCCCCAGCCCAGCCCGAGCAGGGTCCCCCCTTGCCACCAGCCCTGCGGGGACAGGGACCCCAGAATGTGGCACCCTGGGGAACCCCCCCAGCCCTGCGGGGACAGGGACCCCCCAAAGTGCCACCACCGGGACTCTCCACACCCCCCTGGGGACAGGGACCCCTCCCTCTGCCCCCCCCGGGAGCCCCCCCAGAATAGGTATGAGGCACTGGATCTAGACAGCCAGAGAGATGATTTAGAGGAAAATCATCTACCCAGTGAACCTCCCAATTATGACTTGCCTAAAAAAAGGATTACCACCTCTAATGTCAAGAAAAAAAGAAGGGTAATCGTGGTGGGTGATTCCCTTCTGAGGGGGACAGAGTATGTCGACCTGACCCATCCCACAGGGAGGTCTGCTGCCTCCCTGGGGCCCAGGTACGAAACATCACTGAGAAACTTCCTAGGCTGATTCAGTCCTCTGATTATTACCCACTGCTGATACTCCAAGCTGGCAGTGATGAGATTGAAAAGAGGAGTGTCAAGGTGATTAAAAGGGAGTTTAGGGCACTGGGTCA